CAAAACATAACGAGGTTCTCAAAAAGAAAATTAAAACTACAGTCAAAAATATCCCCCAAAGTCATCTAAAACCAAACAACAGGTTAGTTTAACTTGTGAAAAATATCTGCCTTGAGCTTTATGTTTTTAAGATCTATCTATGGGGGACCAAATTGACAACAGCGACTTGAAAGATCAAATAGGAAGTCTGGGGCAACAAGTTTATGTTAAAGTAAGAGGGATAGCTCAGGAAAGGAGAATAAGGTAGCTGCACAACTCAAAGACTATAACTGGTGTCACTTAATTTCACACTTAGGGAACTCTTGTGGCCTCAGCAGCAGTGAGTTGCACGGCTTACCAAACGTGGTGCCTCACTGGTGTTTCAAGTCCACCAGCCACCTATAGAAAAGAGCTGGGCAATTTACAGTCTCTGAAAACCCACTGCAAAGTTAGCTATATGTCGGCAATGACCTTTTGAATAATTGTACAACTTGAAACTGTTGAATGATGTATGTTTTGCTGTGTATATTGTCAATAAAAACAATTTTTTAAAAAAAAACAGAGAAGCGAGAACAGAGTAACGAAAGATAACATTTCTCTCTGTTCCCTTGTATTTTCTAAACTTGCCCAAGACTATTACATATTACTTTTATAACAATTCCTCAATTTTATTTAAGCTTGAGTCTGTCTATTAGGGAGCTCTGCTGGTCTAGTGGTAAAAAACCGTGCTGCAAAATGAAAGGTGCACTGTTCAAGTCCACTAGCTGCTCTGTGGGAGCAGGATGGACAGTCTCCTCTCATGGGATTTACTGTCTCTGAAAGCCTGCTGGAGGGTCAGCTATGGGTCGGTTCCGACTTGAAGACACACAACAACCACCTTCACTCCCAATCCTTGCCCTGTGTGCACACTTTGGCCAGACTGCAGGGCTCAACACCGTGGACAGGGCCTGGCAGGGTTGAGACCTCAGCACCATGGACAGGACACAGCGGTGCTGGAACATCAGCACCATGGACAGGGCCCGGTGGCTCGCTGGAGGCCAGGGTTTTGGTGGGGCACCATGATCAAATGGCAGGGAGGTAAGGTCGAGACTCTCTTCCTTTCCAGTCCTCCTGCCATGTCCACGGGAGGCTCAAGGACATCTGTCAATGGCAACGTAATTGAAACAGGAAAAAGCTTTGTCCCTTGAGCCTGGCTAATGCCACCAGAACAAGCACTGTGACCTGGCGTGGGCAGAGAAGCTGTCGGATTGTTGGTGAAATGGAAGTAAAAGCAAATATTGCACAGATCCCTTCCTGCGCACGATTAGCTCAGGAGAGACTCGCAAACGTGCCAATACCCGTCACAGCAACATCTGCTTCTAATTGCTTCTTCCCCAGCATTCGCAAAACTCGTCAGCTGGCAACTGCCCTAGGAGAAAATCCGATATTTTTAACAAACCCTTAAATCAGATGGTGAGTAATGTCTTACGTGTTTGGTCTTTTAGGGTAAAAACAGTAAGCACACCTTTGAGGGGTGCAGCCTGAGGGCATCAGGCTACCCTCTGCGAGCAGGTCACTGAGTGGCCCCCACTCCTCCACACTCTCTCATCACTTATCACACACACTGACACCCCATGTTCTTTTAAGACTCCACTGTGTCTACTTCCAGTAAGAGTCATTTCCCCCTCTTTTCTTGATAATTTTGTAAAACTACATTTCTTTGAAAAGAAAAAAAACCCCACAAACTCAACATGTTTTTAAATGTGTTTAAAAAGAACATCGCAGTTCAGGCTGTCATCTCCCACCAGGGAAGAACTTTAAGTATAATCTTATCTGTGGGCAAAGCTTCCTGTTGTCTTTATAGAACAACACCAGGACCAACATTAGTCAAAATTCAACAAGCTGCCTTCAGTCCACACTACCTCACAGCGACCTCACATGCATCCGAGCAGATCTGAGCTTCGTAGGGTTCGCAGTGCCTGCATCTTCAGTACATGGACTGTCCTTTCTCCCAAGAAAACTCTACTAGGCCTCAACTCCCAAACTGTTCTGTTATCAGTCAAGCAGTTCAACTACTCACACTGTCTAGCATCTAGCTTCTCCTTCAAACCCAGAAGTCGCAATCGGGACAAGGTGCAGACGAGAGCCTGAACTCTAAGCCTTGGAGACTTGGTGTTGCTCTGCTCCATCCAGACTCGGAGCAGCACTGCCCAGCACAGATCTGCTTGGACAAGAGGGTAGGAGATTCCCAAGGAGCAGGATGCGGAAGCCACAGACACAACATGGCCCACAAGGCCCTGGGGCACGTGGAGGATATGTTCTGATGTCCTCATCTTCTTTCTAGGTTGAGCTCATGCAAGTTTTACATGAACTGCCCCAAAGATTTTCCGTTGTCTCGTTTGCAAAATCAGACAATGACAAAGGACGACCAAAGAATTAATGCTTTTGCATAGTCACGTTGGCAAGGAATGCTGACTGAATCATGGGCTGCCAGAAGAACAAACACATTTGTCCTGGAAGAAACACTTTGGGCACGTGGTCAGGAAAGGGTAATCTCTGGAGAAGGGCATAATGTTTGGGAGACAGTCAATGATAAGTGAGACCCTCAACAAGACAGACTGGCACAAGGGCTGAAACTATGGGCTCAAGCACAGCCATGACTTTGAGGGTGATATGAACCAGGATGCTCTGTTCTGTTAAATAAAAACTTGTTATGATCCAATACCCCATGACACCAAACAATAACCCACAGAGCTCAAGTGGCTGTGTGCCTCCTTCTCATAGGGCAGCGCTTCTCAGATCTTGAAGACAAGTTGTCTTAGAGTCACTGGGTCCCCCAGAACCCACCATCCTGTGGTTCTTCCTCTGATGAATGTCGACAACATCCCAACCCTTCCATCTCCTCCATGGCCCCTGGAGTATGGGATGCCCTGTCCCTCCCTCAGCCCCTACTCAGCCCTGATCCCAGCAGTCTTTGCTCAGAAGGTTGCCACGGATCCCACCACATGTACTGACAGCCTCTCTGTCGGAGCCCCTGACCACACTGCTGGTCCTCACACACATCTCCTGCTCGCACACTCCTCATGGCTACCTTCCTCCTTCACTCATTCACCCAACCAGCAAAGACTAGGTGCCCACTGTGTGCCTGGCACCGGTCAAGTCAGCCGCAAACAGAAGCAGCCAAAGCCCCTGCCTTCAGAGAGCATCCAGTCAACGGCACAGGGACAGCCAAGTGAGGAGAAAAGTGCAGGGCTAAGCATGCTGGGAGATGGTGATGTCTCGAGGAGAAATATGGTCGGACAGGGGTCAGGTGGGTGCCAGGCGGTTCACAGGGTGCTCAGGGACAGCTTCGCTGAAACAGTGACATTGACCCAGTAGAAAGAGAGGAGAGAGAAGGGGGGGGGAGAGAGAGAGAGAGCGCAGAGGAAACAAGGAAAAGAATCTTCTAGCAGGAGAGCGAGCACAGATCCTTAGCAGGAGTGTGCTGGTGAGTTCCGGAAAGTCAGGGGTCAGTGGGCTGGGGAGGCACATCCTACTACACTGAACAGACTGCCTTGGCTGCCAGCTTGGGAACAGAAAGAGGGAGAGCAGGAGACAGATGGAGATGGCTGACGGCTGCATTTATGGGCATGAGAGACGCAGCAGAGAGCAGAGGAGATGGGAGGGGGCTGGCTCTCGGGGACACACTGGACGTGGAGCCCGCAGCACCACTGACGGGCAGGAGGAGCTGGAGAGGTGCGCCGGGGACTTTTCAGCCTAAACAAATAGGAAGATGGGGTGGGGGGTGGCGCACTGCCATTGATTCAGCTGGCGAAGGAGCAGAGGCAGCAGGTACAAGCGAGGGTGGGAATCGCCACCTAAATGATTGTGACCAGACATCCCACCCAAAGGCAGATGGTCTACACTAAGATGACTGGACCTTACCCGGCTGAAAGCACTGGTCCCTCTGACTACTCCTCACCTACACACACACACACACACACACACACACACACACACACACACGCCTACATACATAAACATATACACAAACACATGTACACACATATACACACATGTCTACATACATAAACGTGCACATATGCCTACATACATAAACATACATGTATACACATGCATGCCTATATACATACACATGTACACACATATACACACATACACATGCGCCTATGTATGTACACACACCTATATATACATGTACACACAGGCATATACATATACACACAGATACATACACACATGTACACATACATACAGACACGTGTACACACACATACATACAAGCTCACAGTACATCTATAAGCACACACACCACAAACTCAAACATACCCATGAACTCACACCACACACACTCCCACAGAGAACACAAACTGGCATGTGTGCGCACATGCACACAGACACGCCCCCACACATGCACACTCTCACATACGCATGCTCTCACATACATACACACACGCATGTGGCTCGCACATGCACCACAGATTCCCGCCTTCAACCCAAACCCGCACGTTCACACACGTCCACGCACAGACCCCTTCTCCACAGCACTTAGTGTGTCGTCTCGCATTACTCCCTTGGCTGGTTCAGGCTCATTAGTGAGATGCCATCTGGAAGCAGCTACACAAAGCGGGTGCAAGAAATATTTTTAGTAACAAGCTGTGAAGAATTGCACTCATGGTGTTCAGTCTAACGGGTCAAGAACATGATGTCAAAACAGCCAAGAACTGCATGCAACACTGATTAAATGTTGTTGTTGTGAACCGCTGAGTCAGAGCCACCCATAGCTGACCCTCCAGCAGGTTTTCAGAGGCAGCTAATCGCACGGGAGGAGACGGCCTATCCTTCCCTCAAGGAGCAGCTGATGGATTTGAGCTGTGTGCTTTCAGGATTGCTGCTGAGTTTCTTACCACTAGGCCGCCAGTTAAGTGACTGTCATTGCATCTTGGATGTCTTCTATCCAGATGCTGACCTGACCCGATCTTCTAGCTGGGAGGAGGGGGTGGGTCTCTTTGGGACAAACCAAGCAAAGGAAGCACGGTTACCTTGCCAATTCTGAAGTCCCAAGCTTTGATTTCGGAGCTGAAGCCTCCACAGACACAAAGATTGTGATCTTTTGGATGAAATTTCAAGGTAGTGATTCTAAAGTCACTTTGGCCACGGAATACTGGGGTCCCTAGAATAGAAAAGAGGAAAGAGAATGTTAGAAAATGCCGAGCCCACAAAATACATAGCTTCAAACTAAGATGGGTTTGGGTACGGAGCCCTTGGGCAAACACAGTCCATCAGGCCTACTGTGGCTTAGCAGAACTTTCTGGAAGTGTGACAGCAGCAGCAATAACATTTATCCTCATTCTCTGGCCAGCCTCCTTTGATGCACTGGCGTCCCCAGCAAGGTTAAGCTAGATGGAGGCAGAAAAAGTGACCGTGTATGTGCTCTGCGAACACCGCACACAAAGCCCACACAAGCACCCTGACGCTTGTCTAAAGCCCACCTGAGGCCTGAAAAGCAAGGCTCAGGGAGCTTAAGGAACACTTCCAAGGCGGCGCAGTTAATGCAGTAGATTATTTATCTGACAATCTATACACCAAAGGCAAGATTACTCCTAAGAGATTTCTTCTTAGGATAAGCCATCTCCTAGTCTTGCTGCAGTAAGAAGTGATGAGTGGCTTGTTACTGAGCTGGCAGGTGCCAGTGGTAGGACACGGTGGGCAGGAAAGGGCAGGGACAGGCAACACAGCAGCCCAAAGCACGGAGTGGACAGTGGCGTGGACCACAGGAGTCTCACGGGCTCTATAGGACACGGGACAGTCCCTAGCCCTCGCATGTTCATCCTAAAGAGGTTGCAGGCATGTGGGGACGTCTGTGTGCACGTAGGCGTGATGCGAAGCTCTCATTTTAATGACTGTGGTTGTTTGGAAGTAAGCCTTCTACCCTAGAGTGGTATCAGTACTTTAGGGAGGTTCAGACTCGAGGGCGAGCCTTCTCTGCCCAGGGTGCAGCACGTGTGGTCTGCAGCCCCCAGAAGCCTCTACTGCCTGGGCGACCTCTAGTCCTCACCTCTGACTATGATGCTGATCTGCTGTTGTTGTTTTCAGGTGCCATCAATTCGAGTATGACTCACAGTAGGCATATGAACAAGAAAACAATGTATTTGAACCATGTCCTGTCCTCTGCCGTCCTCACAATCTCTGACATACTCAAGGCCATTGCTGAAGTCACTGTATCAATTTGCTGGCCCTTTGCTGATCTCCACCTTTCCTAGGATGATGCCCCTCTCCGAGGAATAGCCTCTCTCAGCAACAAGCCAGAGTATGTGAGACGAAGCTTCACGATCCTCGCCTCCAAGAAGCATTCTGGCCACCCCTTCACCAAGACGTATGTTTGTTCATTTGGCAGTCCATGGGATAGTCATCACTCTTCTCCAATACCAAAGCCATCAATTTTTTTTTTGTCATCCCTCTTCATTGTCCAGCTCTCAGCAGTAGATCAAGTGATTGAAAAGACCATGTTCTAAAAACAGGTGCACCTTAGTCCTCAAACTAACATCATTGCTCCTCAGTATTTCTTCTACTCATATGGAATCCCTCCATGAGCATCAGGAAACAGGCTGGCCCAAGAAGGATCTGGTCACGTGCTCCCCTGGGCCTGCCAACCAGGTCACACGGCACTCACACACCAGACGTGGCACCTCCTGCTTCTGTACCCACCAGAACTGTGCAGGAGGAGACATCAGCAAGGACTGACATGGAAACTTCGCCACAGGACCAAAACGCAAGGGGCAGCTTAGTGGACATGTGGAGCCAGAGGACAAATAGGAGAATTGTGCAGAGCCAAGAGGTGTCCCCCCCATGGGAACCCACAGAGTAATGTCTGCTTGTTGAACTCGCAAAACATTTCCTAAGGCCCATCCTGCTCTGTGGTCTGTGCCCTGCATATCTTTTAATTAGGACTTCCAGGTCAGTGGTCAGATATGGAAGTTCTCTATCCAGATCCCCACTCCATTCCACAGTTGATTCCAACTTATAACGACCCTGGAGGCCACAGGAGAACTGTACACAGGCTTTCCAAGGCTGTAAAGCAATGCAATCAGATGGTCTCATCTTTCCATCATGGAGCATGTAGTTGGTTCAAACAAATTCTTCAACCACTGTGCCACCAGGGCACCTAGCCAGCAGTCAGCATCTTCAAAAGATATAAAAGGGCGAGATCAGCCCAATATGGTCCCCATAGTTGCTTCACTGCACACCCCATCAGTTAAAAACCACGCAAGCACCAATCACCAACACATGAATGTTTGTTTATACATCCTAGAATTTGTTTCTGTTGTTAATTGTCTTGAGTTGGCTCCAATTCATGATGACCTTACAGCAAAATGCCATTTTCATGATCATTTACACATATTATATCCTGCACCACTAATACATCATGAATATTAAAACAAATGCCAAGAACAGAGCATTGTCAGGGACAAGTGTGGATCAGAATGTTCAAATAGATTTTAAACACAGGCTGTACACGTGGATTTCACTTGATGATATGCATCTGTGCAAGGAATTGTTAGAGAAATTCAATATCAGCAGTAAAAACTAGGCCAGGGACTGATTGTGGAACAGACCACCAACTGCTCACATGCAAGTTCAAATTAAAGCTAAAGGTTAAGTCATATCCACAGAAATCAAAATTTTATGAGTCTATGCCCCCTGAAACCAACTCAGGAACAGGTTTGAGGCCTTGAACACTAATAAACAAAGACCAGATGAGCTGTGGGAAGATCTTCAAGAGTATCGTTCATGAAGAATGCAAAAGGTCATTACAAAGAAGGAAGAAGAAAAGACCAGAATGGACGTCAGAAGAGACTGAATACTCCACTGAGTGCTGAGAAGCCAAAACAAAGAGAAGAAATAAAAAAGGTAAGGAGCTGAACAGCAGATTTCAAAGGACAGCTCAGGAAGACCAGGCAAAGTACTATCATGAAATGTGCAAGGAGCTGGAGTCAGAAAGTCAAAAGGATCAAACTCATTCAGCATTTCTTAAGCTGAAGGAACTAAAGAACAAATTCAAGCCACAAGTCGAAATGCTTAAGGATGCTATGGGCAGAATATTAAATGATTCAGGAAGCATTAAAAGAAAAATGAAAGGAGTATAGAGTCACTGTAGCAAAAAGAATTGTCTGACACAGAAGAATTTCAAGAAACAACTTATGATACTGATTTAATGGTGATGAAGGAGAAAGTACAGGCTGCTCTGAAGGATTTGGAAAAAATATGGCCCCAGGAATTGATGGAATACCAATTGGCATATTTCAACAAACAGATGCCTTGGATGTGCTCACCAGGTTGTGCCAAGAAATCTGGAAGACAATTATTTGGCCACATGACTGGAAGAAATCCATATTTATTTCCATTCCAAAAAAAGGTGACCTGACAGAGTATGGAAATTATCAAACAATGTCATTAATATCACACACTAGCAAGATATTGCTGAAGATTATCCAGAAATGACTGGAACAGCACATTGACAGAGAAATATCAGAAATATAAGCTGGGTTAGAAGAGGTCATGGCACTAGACACATTACTGCCCGTGTCAGAGGAATCTTGTCAGAAAGCAGAGAGCACCAGAGGAATGTCTGTGTTTCATTGACTATACAAAGGCATTTGACTGTGTGATCACAACAAATTGTGGCTAATCTTGAGAAAAATGAGAATCCCAGAACACTTAATAGTGTTAATGCAAAACCTATACTTGGACCAGGAAGCAGTCTTCAGAACAAGGCAAGGAAACTACACAGTTCAAAATCAGAAAAGGTGTGCATCAGGAATGCATCAGGTCTCCATACCTTTTCAATCTATATGCAGAACAGATCATTCAGGAAGCAGGGCTTTATGAGGAAGGAAGAATGTGGCATCAGGATTGGAGGAAGACTCATCAACAACCTACGTTATGCAGATGACACAATCTTGCTTGCCAACACTGAGAAGGACCTGAGGTGCTTGCTATAGATGGTCAAGGACTGTAGTCTTCAATGTGAATTGCAACTCAACATCAAGAAGACAAAGTTTCTCAGCAGTGGGTCGACTGGCAGCATCATGATAGATGGAGAAGAGATTGAGGTTGTTAACAATTACAGTTTGCTCAGCTCCACAATCAACACTCTTGGCACCAACAGTCAGGAAATCAAAAGACAAATTGCATTGGGAAAATCTGCTGTCAAGGACCTCTTCAGAGTACTGAAGAGCAACGATGTCAGTCTAGAGACTAAGGTGTGCCTAATCCAGGCTTTGGTCTTTGCAATTACTTGCTATGCATCAGAGAGCTGGACAATGACGAAGGATGATAGAAGAACTGATGCCCTTGAGTTGTGATGCTGGAGAAGAGTCTTGAACATATCATAGACTGCCAAGAAAACAAATAGGTCTGTCTTGGAGAAGGTGAAACTAAGTTTCTCCTTGGAGGCTAGAATTTTGAAGCTCCATCTCACATACTCTGGGCATGTGGCCAGGAGCAATCACTCCTTTGAGAAGGTCATCACGTTTGGAAGGGTGGAGGGACAGCACAGAAGGGGAAAACCCCAGATGAGATGGACTGATACAGTGACCGGGGCAATAGGGGTTGGTGTGTTGTAATTAGTGAGACTGGCTCAGGACAGAACAGGCTTCAGAGCTGTTGTACATAGGGTTGCTAGGGTCACAGGTGACTCAATGGTCCATAACAACACAACAATATTGAAACTATCAACAGATTTCTTTCAAATCATTAAAGAGACAACAGGACACACCATGTGCCAAATTCTTTTCAATGTGAGGCCTTTTTTGTGATTTATGGATCCAAAGGGGTGGTTTTGGATTCTAGTCTGTTCAGCGCCCTGCTGGCACAGCTGGAAAGGACGGCTCCCAGAGAACACAGGCTCACGGGGCACATGTGCACCACGGGTGACCGAGCCGCTTCCACGCGCCCCGGAGTGCAGAACGCCTCCCGGATTTCTGTTAGTGGAGTTCCACTGCTCCTGCATCAATCACTGATGCCTGCAACTGGTCAGAAGGCACTGCATGTTCACATATGTAACATGTTCGTTCAAAAGGCACGGAAACGTCCACATCAAAGTCTTAGACTAGAAAATTAAAAACGTGTCCCAGCCTCATCGATTGTTGATTCTGACTCTGAGGGACATCT